CCCTAATTACAGGCAACCAAAAGCATGTCTGAGCCCCTTTTAGCTCCACTACAATGTCTGTACATGGACAAATTACTTACAAAACGAGGGTCTTTATTTAGACAAGCCTCCACAAACTCTTTGAAGGGCTTGCTGTAAGGTCCCTCCAGTGTGGGTGGAGTGTTTTTCGGGATGAGGAAAAGGACCCTCATGGGGTGAAGGTCAGAGTTTGGAGGTTCCCCTTTAGCCAATTCAATGGCTGTGATTCCTAGGGACCAAATATCAGCCTGAGGGGGAGAGACGTGTAAGAAAAGGTGTGTTTACTGTACGTTGGACACCAGAAACAGTGTGAATATAGTTTCCTTACTGAAGTGATATGCATCCTATGACTCTTCCCAAGCAGAAAAGTTAATTTAGCATCTCTTTGTCACAGCTTTCACCAACACCATCACATTATATTTTCATAACTGAAAATGATCTACCAAACTGAGGACACATTTTTTTCACCCAAAAGTGAGAAAAGCAAAAAAAAAAAAAAGCCCCAAAATACCTAAGACATCGTTCACTTAAAGCAGAAACACATGGATCCTTTTGCTTAATCCACAGACACACCTTAAAGTCGTAGGCGGACTGTTTGATAACCTCTGGAGCCATCCAGAAAGGTGTGCCGACGAATGTGTTCCTCTTTATCTGGGTATCTGTGAGCTGTCCTGCCACCCCGAAATCTGCCAGCTTCACCTCGCCCTGCTCCGACAAGAGCACATTGGCAGCTGGGAGAGGGAGAGGGAGAGAAATAACATCACAATACATGGAGAAATAAAATGAGCAGAGCTAAAAAAAAAAAAAAAAGGCTTGTCGATATTTAGAATGATTGAGCCTCATTTGGAGATAATAGTAAGTCATGAAATGCTGACGCAAATCATGTACATTAACCAAGAGTCGTTTTAGAAAAGGCAGAACTATCATTATTTGGGGTTTTGTGCCCAACAGATGGGCGGAATAAGGGTCAAGGGATGTTTTACAGTCTTTTCCCCGAGTTGTATTTTGGAGAGCACAAACAGCAACACACATCAGAAGCCGTACTGAAGGAAAACAGACCACACTAACAGAATCAACCCCAACATCTAACCGACTTTCTATCTTGGTTGATCCGTCAGCTGGCTGTCATTTGTTTGTGATTCGCTAATGATTTAGTAAAGTAACATCAGCTTCAGATAACACCATAAACAGCACCATATATAGATGTAAACTAAACTCCTCCAGTATTCCGTGATGCACTCAGATGGTGTTAATTCATTAATGTATGCAGCAATACGCATACTGCATGGACATATTCCGTCCAGCATCTGGTTAAGACTTACTCATCATATCGCTCATCACTGCTCGACATTAAGTGTCTGCTGCGGAGCTTAAATCAAAGCACTTTAAAGTGAATATACAGTCAACACACAAAGAGCGTGATATCTGTCTTAATACAACTGAAAGAGGACACGTGTCTCACTATCTTTAAGAGGCTTGGATGAAGGAAGGGACGCTTTTTTAAATGCGTGAACAGAGTGCTTATTACCTTTGATATCTCTATGAATCTTTCTTTCAGAATGCAGATACTCCAAACCCTTCAGTATTTCCCTCAGTATAGTAGCAATGTAAGTCTCTTCAAGAGGCCCTGGACGGAGCTAGGAGGGGCAGCAGATACACCAGAACAATGTGGAAGTTTGGGGAGAAGGGAGAGAGTCAAAAACAAGTCAAGTTAGGCTTCTCAAGCGTAAACAGTACCACCTTGCACAACACTTGAATTACACTTTGTAAGCTGTATACAAATATAAATCTGATTACCAAATCCAGAGCAGATCCTCCACCTAAATACTCCATGATAATCCACAGCTTGGTCCCCTGAAAGGACAACATGTTTGATGAAAGATTCAAAATGCTCTTTTTGCCTTTTCCTGTTCGATATAAGTGAAAGTAATCGGTGTCATTCCTTCATAAATGTTAACACCTCACCTTCAGGTATGATCCAAAATACTTGGTAACAAAAGGGCTATCGCACTGGCTCAGCACTGTGATCTCCTGTTGGATGTCTTCTATCTCGTCCTCTGCCTCCTCCAGATCTATTATTTTAATCGCCACCACCTCCTTTGTGCGGTTGTTGATGCCTTTGTAGACCTCCCCAAAGGACCCCTTCCCAATCCGCTCCTGCTTGGTGAAGTACTCCTCTGGGTCCAACCGGGTGTTCTGGTCAAGTCACAGCAGCAAAAGAAAATAACTGAATCTGACAATGTAAGATGTGATGACTGTTCTTAAGGCCTGATCTGTGTGTGTTTATAAACACGACAACTGGTTGAACTGTATGAATGTCTTCATTGTAAAAGGTTAATAAGACGTGACGGTGGGAGATAAATCTGTCTTTTGGCTTGTATAATGATGTTCTACCTCAAGCCACAAATATAAAAAAAGATGATGATTAACCTTTGTAATGTTTACCACCAGTCTTCTATTCAGCCACAGTCCATGTCATCACACAGACTGTAGATCCAACTTCGTTGCCAGGATGTAATTCAAGAAGCATGACACTTCAGTGGTTTTCTGCTCCATAACAGCAGGAAATGAGTGACGACTTTTGACTGAATGAGAGTCACATAAAGAAGTCTTTCAATCTTAATAATCTATTTGTATTTCCAGTATGTGACAGTTATAGTCCTAAAACAATGGGGACTTTGATCATCATGAATTAGTATTGAATTCGCACATAAGAGTGTAATTAAGAGTTTCTGACTGCACATTTTGTCAGCAGAGTTACCTCTAACACATGCAACATTCAGACCGTTTTATCACTTGATTTGATGGCTCAGACCCCCACCCACCTATTCATGAGTAGCTGACAGTCATGGGGGGGTTCGCCTAGACTCAGACAAGAAGCAGGGAGGTGACAGTTAGTGAAAAGAGGATTTCTGTACCTGGTTTTGCATGTTTTTAAGGTGTGCCATCCCCGCTGTAGGTTGGACAGAACAGGGACAGCCCCAGCTCTCTCTTTCCGAAGTTATCAAATGGTGCTTTCGGGGTTTTCTTCCCCTCTTGGCTGTCTAGGAAGCTAGCTAGGTCGCTAGCCAACCAGATAAACACCCAATCTGCTGGCGTTAACGGGGCTGTCACTCCGCTCGCTGTTTTCGGCCTCCAAGTCCAACGGAGGACCGACGAGCCCGGCGAGGCAACGAGCTACTGACCGAGAGACTCCATTAGTGTCGGCGTTGATGAACAAGACGAGAAATAAACTCCTTCCGTGTGTAAATATTTAATTCATTTCAAGCAACGTTCAGCCTGTTGTTCATTTGAAGCTTGAGGAGGACAAAATAATGGCCCAGATGGACGACGCATGCGCATCGGTTTTTTGAGCCAGATGGAATTGTGGGAGTTGTATTCCTAAAAGTTTTTCTGTAAAATGTCTCTGTTAACATCTCTTCCATAAAGACGCCTCCTCATGAATGAAATGTGCGTTGTTATAAAAAATAAATGAAACTTAATAACATCAAATTCAATATTCAAAAGTGTATTTTTTTGCAGGTCCTTTAAATTTCCTTTAACACTGTGCCATAATAGGCTATAAGTAAAATATTTTAAATACATTTGTTTTGTGTGATGTGTTGTGTCTCCACAGAGATAACAATCTGTCTTCATTTATTTCAAGCGTAATAGCTGAGACCAGCATGCATTTCTACATTAATATGGTTCGAGTATGTAGACCCATATAAGTTTGATGTATCTCTGTGAGTCTCATCCAGTGATTGACAGTAAAAATGTAAACTAAGATGGATTTAAACACATGCTTGTCGATGTGCATGCTATAATAAAATCTGCTGGTAGTACTCTGGGTCTATTGTAGCTCATTTGAACTAGCCTATCTGAAACTTTTTATGATTTTCACTTCTACATTAAGCATTTGCACTCAGCCAAGAAAAAGCCAACACTGCTGTGAAAATGTATACTTAATATATCTCAGGCTATTTACTGTAACTTTAGCCTACACCTACCTATGCATTAACACTGCATCTGCTTGTAGGCTGAACATGGACCAAAAACTCTCTTTAAATAACTATGATTGAAAAATATACAGCCTATAAATACAATTTAAATTAGATGCAATGCACTTGTAAACTAGTCTGTGTCATCACCCAAAATCCAAAATGTTATTGCAATTTTGTAAGTAGATATACTCTGCTCTGGGTTGAACTCTGAGACAAAGACCAAAAAAAGTTTTACCAAGCAAAGAAAATGAAAGATATTACTAAATTATTGTGTTTTTTTACTCTGACTTTTTTTTTAGTAAATTGTTTCACTTAGAAATCGGTAAAAATTCCGATTTCTTTGTTCAACGTCAGAACTGTGGGAAAAAAAAAGTCATAACTAAATGTCCAGTGGCCCCTAACCCATCTTCAATAAAACATGTTTGTTCTTAAACAAAAATCATACACTCCATCATATCCTATGGAGTGTTATGTATTTTTTTTTTTTACGTTTTCTTTGGTAACCATCACAAAGAAAACACTAATGATTGTAAAAAAAAAATCATTTGTTTACTGTTATTAGTGCTAATAAAGCAATCATTTCACTTTCAACCTCATGTAGGGCTACTTGGCGACGACGAATATTTGTATTTGTTTGAAGAAATATGACCGAAATTGTTTTCATTCATTTTAATACGATTTGTACAATATGTAGGCCTAGATTTCCTAATTGTTGTTTTTTTTAACAGGAAACTATCTGTGAAAACAGTGTTTATTTTCGGATTTTCGGATTAGAAGAGATACATTTAATTATAGAATTAATCGATCTGTGTTAATGTAGAGCACATTTCATTTGTCTCAATGGTTCAAATACCACTGACTGTAAGTAGCCTTATAATAATAATGTTATACAGTGTACAGTGTGATCATTGTGTGCGCTCGTTTTCTAGCCTGCTTCTACCGCCCGATTGGACTCTGCTGCACACACTCCGCCCCACACACACACACAGACACGCACGCACACACGCACACACACACACACACACACACTAGCTCGAAGCGGTGTATGATTTAGTTTCACTTCCATCCCGTCAGTACTGCTGAGCGGACATTGACCACATGACATTGTAAACACGGTTTTAAACCACAGCGGTAAGTAGCTGCAGTAAAGAAATAGATGTGTCTGGTTAGCTTGTTTCTGCAGACTGTTAATGGTTGTGCACTCGCTGCTGCTAAGCTAACGTGTTGTGATAAAGGTAACATCAGCTAATACCTGTCAGGCGGGTCAGACATGACATAATACTGTAGTAGCATTAGCTATCAGCTAACCTTAGTGTTAGACATGGCGTCTAATGTGGATTTTCATTCAGTGACATTGAAGCCATGTGTCAGCCACAGTTACACTTCATGTTAACGTTACGTAACTTCATGCAACACAACGACTTTCATTTCTAATATGTTCAAATTGTTGTCTTTGACTAACACGCTGTGCTCTCCACCTTGTTGTGGGGGCTTGTTTGGTTTCTTCACATGCCTTTTCACACGGACCAGAGAGTGAGTTCTGCTGGGCAGTACTTTAACCTACTGAGCCAATTAGAAAGCACTATTTGTTTTATTATTCTGCACAATGACCCCGCTTGAGGCTTCTTTTAGGTTAAACATGATGGCATTGCAGGCTTGAGCATTCATTCACATATGAGAGCTGGTAAACATTTAGGGCTTTGTACTGAGCTTTGATGTGATTATTTTTGACATGCTTGCCTCTGTGTTAGTGTCACCGAAATACTTAAACCTAATAAATGTCTTTAACTAAAACTCTCAAACTTGATCTATTAGTTAAACCGCTCAACAGTATAATAAGTGTTTTTCCCATTCCCTTTCATTTGATGTGTATGCAGGCTGGATGAGTGGGCCAACCTTCTCCTCCCCCTCTGCAGAGGTGGCTGAGATGAACCGCATCCATTATGAACTGGAGTACACAGAGGGCATCAGCCAGCGCATGCGAATCCCTGACACCCTCATGGTGTCATCAGCGAAGCAAAAAGGCTCTCTGTTACTTCAGCAACCCATGCCTACACACACGACTATGATGCAAGTACCTGAGAGGATCGTAGTAGCAGGTGAGGGTCACTGGCAGAAAATAACCCTGCACACCTGGTTTAAGTTGGAGGCAGATGCACTCGGGTCTCTGCACTGTTTTAAATTTCAATGATTCTTGTGACTGCTAGTCAGAGTCAATCTCCTCCTCACTTACTCAACAGGTGATGATGGGGATACTCTATTTTCACGAACCCGAGACCTGGACCTGATTCAGTCTGTCCCGCCTGTGGATCTCTTGAACATGAAGGCCCCACCGCGTGTCCTCACCCTCTCAGAACAGCCACTGGACTCTCTTGAAACTGAACAAACTCCCACCTCACAGAGCAATCCCGGCCCGGCCGTAAGCATCAATCATTCATTACCTTGATGCTTTACCAATAGAACATCCTGTGCACTATAGCATGATTACTACATGGCTGTGTTAAATACTTGATTCTGACGGGTCAATTAGGCTCATAGACTCTGGAGGACTAACTGTAATCATATCGATCTGCGGAAAGAAATCCGGTTCATTTGACATCTGTTTACTGTGGGATAAAGGAGAGGTTGATAGAGGAGGACAGAGGTTAAAAGATACTAAAGCTGCAGGCTATTACAGAGAAACAAAACTGAAGATGGCACAAAAGGTAAACACACGTGTTATGAGATACAGAATTCCTTTAAAGACAGTTGAAGGATGAGAGTCAGACAGTGAAGAAGCAGAAAAACTAATTCAGTCATATTAATACCAATCTATTCCCCTTGTCTCACTTTCACCATCAGTGGAAATGTTAAGTTTCTTGTGAGTAATAACGGCTAGTTTAGGCTACAGAGTTAACCAATATTTCCGCTCTAACAGTAGATTCCAAAGGACTATTTGAATAATGGAAGAAACTAACAAATTGTGGTTTGATTTTGACCTTTTCACTTCTCAAGTGAGCCTCACATCATTTTGAATCTTTGTGTCCTCCATAGGCCAACTTCCATGCTCGGTCTCGAAGGGAGCGCAGTGCCAGTGAGAACATGTCTGCTCGCCACAGCAGATTGGACGTAAGGTAAGAGCACATCCACGTTCAAGAATCCTGCCTCACCAAAGATGGCTTGACTTTCAGAAATACTTCCAAAATGATCTTATTTATTTTTTCTGTTTCTCCACACTCTTGTCTCCTCCAGTGTAACTCCTTCCCCTTCTGCCCCTCCGGTCCGCTTGTGCCCCCCTCTCTGCTCCCCAGAGGATGCAAACATTGACCTGTTCACAGCCACAGGGTTCCTGTCCTACGTCCAGTCAACCACACGCCGGGCATACCAGCAAGTCCTGGAAGTGCTAGATGACAGCCACCGCAGGTGAGTTTTCATCTATGCGAAATATGCTCTTCTCAGAGCATTGTAGGCATTAGGAGAGGTCATCAGGGGAATAATGGTAAGGGTTAGGGAGTGATGGAGTTTCTGAAGCAAGAAGGAAAGCAGCTGTATGAGATCCAAACATGATGTAGTAAAGGGATTAAAATAGTTTAGGATTATTGTTTGTCTCTCTAAACTGGGCAACATTACACAAAGCCCTTCTTATTGTTATGAAACCTCAACTTGCATCATTCCTCCTGTAACCTCTGCAAACTGAAAACACTGTTTAGTGGAATTACAGGAAGATGCCAGGGTCAGTATTTGGGCACATGTTTTATAATATGCAGGCTGTTCTTGTCATCTGACTTAATTTGAATCAGAAGCATTGTGCCAATGCAGGTCACTTATTGTTCCCATAATGTCTTCAGTGCAAATGAGTGTTCGAAAAAAGATTCCCTTTTTGGAATGTCTCTGTGTAGGTAATCTCTGACTGATATTGCTATGAATGTCACTGTTATAATGACCCTAATCTGAGAAATGTGGATCTCCACAGGACACACCTGGACCTGGCCCTGGACATGAACCATGATGAATCTGGTTTAGTGGACGCATCCTCTCTGCGGCGACAGGTAAACCCTCTCACATGGCTTAAGTGTTGTGACTGTTACGCGTATATTGTCCTATAACAGACATCTTTAGATAAGTACAAATCACATACTTGGCCAGTAAGGGCACACTGACACTTGGCCCAGTTGTCCCGTACCGTGCTGAAGCATAATTGTCCCCCCCTCCCCATTCCCCCGCTGGCCTGCACTCATACTGCTCTTGGACTAACCGGGCCTGAGCACGGTTACCTCTTGTACATAACATTGCAATAAACACATGCATGGCTTTATGTGATCATGAAGCCTGCTCAGTTTACAAGACAGACGGACTCAAAAGAAAACAGGACGCATGGTTGAGTCTACGTCGGCACATCGTAGAACAACACAGAGAACAAGATTTGCTACTTTGTGGTTTATTATGAGTCATTTTGGCCAGATTAAGGCTGTCCACGTTTCGTGCCGTTGTTTGTGCATGAACTGAACTGTGCCGAATCACACCTCTTCCAACTGTGCCAGGGCCAAAGAAGTGTACCGTGCTAAAACACGGAATGGAGCATTCACACTAGTTAAATGAACAGCACTTTGAGGGTGAAGCGTGCCAGTGTGACCGCGCCCTGAAGCTCACAGTATTGTTCAAATGTTGCTGCTGTAGTGCTTGACATGGGTAATCCTCTGTATGTAATTATACAGATGCTACCCATGCATGGCACAAGTAGTGATTTAAAGTGTGTTCATGTCGTCTTCCAGATAGTCAAGCTGAACCGGCGTCTGCAGCTGCTGGAAGAAGAAAACAAAGAACGCTCCAAACGAGAGGTGATCCTGTATTCTGCCACTGTGGCATTCTGGCTTATTAACACCTGGATCTGGTTCAGACGCTAACATGGGACAAGACGAAGTCTGCCAAAACACTGGAAGCCAAAGCAAGTCCTTGTTCAAAGAAATACAGAATTTGTCTTTCCTACATCTAAAAATGAAAAAGCAACGACTGGAAACTAAAGGACAATTGCTTATATCCTCGACTTTCAAGCAAATTTAATTTAGGATAAAAAGCTTGGTGCTGTCCAAATAAACCAGAAGCAGTGAAACAACCATTGTTTACAAAACCAGTTATATAATGGTGTTTGGTGTTTCCACCCATTGTTGCTTTATGTCACATTAGCTAGCACTCACATCTTACAGAACCACCAGGGCAAGAGGTAATGTTAAAGTTAGCAAGTCTTACATTTAACGATTTATCTGTTTACCTGGCAAGACAAAGCATAATGAGAGCACTGCTGCAGATGTTCACTTGAGTTAAGGACAAACTAAACAGATGGTTTAGAATATGGGGGCCATGTTAAAGTTGTAAAGGATCTTGAAAACCTGGCATTAATCAGTGGACACCACAAAACTTTACTAAAGAATAATGTTATGCCAAAACAACATTCAAAACTAAATATAAATGATTGCAAGGGTAAACAAGGATTTACTTCAGGCCAAAGTGTTTTGGGAACCGAGTTCAGCGCTGGAGCTGTAGTTACAGGACCAAACCTCGGAGCGGAATTTATCTTGTCGGTTTGAAATTCAGGTTTGTAAGTTTTGTCAAAAAGTACCATTCATCAAGTGTCAAAGTAACATGAATTACTCTAGAGATGCCATAACACTTACCCTTGATGTCCTTTAAGTTCTGCAATACTCCAAAACATTTATGTACAGCACTTAAATAACAAAGTGTTAAAATGTTTGTAGTCTGTCCTTTTTAAATGGGTTATCATTATTATTATTTTTTTTTTTACGTCTCTCTGGCAGCCATGTTTAAGACTTCCATTATAAGCTAGATGAAGCGGTGACAAACAAAGGATAGGGTGCTCGGAGTATTTTGGTGTAAAGTGATATTGTTCTCCTATGATGTTTGTAGTCGGAGCTTGTTTTGTTTTTTCTCCTAGAAAAGTGACCACTTGTGTTTTTTTTCACAAGTTACCCACAAGTCTACAGGAATGGACGATGTGGTTCTAATCATCTTATAATGTGATATAACTCTAAGAGCTACTGTGTTTATGATTACATGTAAAACATGACTACGTATATGAAATGTTGATGTCATTATTTTTCAGTGATGAAATCAGTGTGTATTATATAAGGGTTAATTTATTACTATAACAACAACGTGTTGCTGTGACCATTTTCTCCCTGTTAAGCGCTGTACCTATCTCTTTGGGGTTTTACGGTATGAATTTTACTTTGTTTGTAAAATGTGAATACACTCATAGTTTGATTATATTTTGCTGTAATAAATAATGGATGTTAAACTCCTTCAGAGTCCTCTCTGTGTGTGCAATGCTGACCCCTGCTGCTTCACCAGCCTGTGTGCAGAAACAGGAAGTTGTTGCTGCCTCTGATTGAAGCTCGACAGCCTTCAACACAAGAGCCGGTTCAGTCTGTTTGTTCCACCTGAGATCTTCAACAAGAGGCAGTGAAGTTTTAATAGTTCAAACCTTTGCTCCCCCCCCCTCCTCCTCCTTTTCTTATTGACGGATGCTAAAGCTATTTATAAACCGAGAAACATATGTGCTGACAGTACAATGGGGATCACCAAACTGGTAGATTTGATCCGCTCGGATGCTCCAGGTTCTGTTTCTCACAAGGATATAAGTGACTACACCGGTAACTATTGTGCTCTTACACCTGTGTCTTTGCTTTCTGTCACGATTGGACAGTGTAGCCTATTGTTAAACTGCTATTGCTAAGTGCTAATGTTAGCATAACACCTCAACCACCCTAACAATGAGACTGTCACATTATATAATTCATAAAAAGCTGCTGAGAAAATATCAACATATGACGTCATCCCATTACAGTGGTTATACAAATAATGCTCTGACTTGCTTGTCATTGTTTTCATCCTGTTTCTGACAGTCCTGATTGTATTTTTTTAAACATATGTAATGTTGCTGATTTTTTTTTCTACTGCAGTTTATTTAAATAGTTATCCACTCAAAGATTACAATTATGCCAAAAGAAGTCACAGACGATTTGTTCATGTAACATTGTGTGCCAAAGTAACCTATTAGATATGTATGCTGTATGAGATGATATACAGCTAAAGAAAGTCCCTTTTGTTTGGTCTTCCAAACTGTCTTGAGGCTTCAATGAACCTCATAATGTTTTTATGGGACTGTGTTACTGCAACCTGCAGATGCATTTTTCATTAAGAGTTCAAATCAAGTAATTTCCACAGAGCAGGATTAAATTGTTAAATAATTCCACTAAAAGCATAGTCAAATAAATCTTTAATGTTTATGTAACTGTTAAATGGAAATAAACAGTACCTCATAGAGTATATTTAAGTACTGTACTTTAGTATATGTAATCTGTTTTTTGATTTTCTATCTCATGGCTGAGTAGCTGTGATACACTACCATTTATGTCTTACCGGGAATTGTCTTTTGTGTGGTGCTGAAGATAGATGAGATGACGGGGTGTTACTCTCCACAGGAAAAGTGATTGCACTGGATACTTCTATTGTGGTGAACCAGTTCAGAGCAGCGACGCCTTCACTAAGGTGAGCTCTTTGACGATTGATGACCAGTCTGTCCCACCAAAGGAATGCAACTGTAGATCTTTTTTCACCATGACTTTGTGTTTCTCTGACTGGTGAATTAGAAATACATTGACACCTTAGTACATTCAGTGTACTGAAAACTAACATCTGAAAGAAGGAAGGCAGGCCTATGTGATGGCCTTTCTATAACTTTATTTAAAATACTCACACTACTGCTTCAGCTGTTTATCTTATGACATCCGTCCTCCCATCAATTATCCATACTGCTTAACCCGTTCAGGGTCGCGGGGGGCTGGAGCCGATCCCATCTTATGACATCATTCTTATTATTTACAACTTAACTCTCATCACTACTTAATCAAACAACATAACTAAAAATGAAAAAAAAATATTAGTAAAGCCCTAAAATAATGCAACCCAACACAGAATCACTACAAACTACAGCTATCTAGTAGAATGATACAATATCAGACAGTCCTCGAAACAATTTGAAGATTACTTTTGTGTTTTTTATGATGCACATGGTTATACGTTTGGTCAATACATTTCTATGAAATATCCTTTATTTCTCCTCTGTAGCCCTCTGACAGGTCTCTTTTTTCGCACGCTCACCTTCCTGGAACATGACATAAAGCCTGTGTTTGTGTTTGACGGAAAGCCTCCTGGGGAGAAGAGAGCGGTTGTAAGTAACGCCTTTGAGTCTTAATCTCCTGACTCAGTTTGACAGTAAACATCTGAGGTCTGCAGGACAGTCACGGGTCAGAGAGAGACTAATGGGTGGTAGAACTAGTCTTATATATTTGTTACAAATGACATTTTAACAACATTTCTAACAGGGAAGATGCAGAGAGATTTATTAATCAGTGTGATTTGAACTTAGCAGCACACATTTGTCGTGTGGTACAAAATGTGTGCTAATGCTTATGAAGCTCGTGTTTCTTCCTGCAGCTTGAGAAGCGAGCTGAAGCAGCTGGTTGGAGGTCAGCCAACCTTAATGGCACAGGTACATCTACACAGACTGATCACTAATAGCAGAAGTTTTCACATGTTATACAACTCTTAAAATTCTTGAGATATTCAGTAGGGTCTTATCCTAACTGTCAGGTCTTCTAATGTGAACCTCCTTTGTGCTCCATGCAGCTTCGTCTCAGACAAAAGACTGTGTCCAGCTCCTGAAGTTTCTGGGTGTACCTGTCGTTCAGGTAAGACATAAAATGCACCAAGTTGTTTAAAATGATCTCAGGTTCTCCACCTTCCTTCCCTCCTTCTCTTAATTCATTTCAATCCCACTTTTTTTCCCTCTGTGTCTTGTCCATTAGGCTCCAGGGGATGCTGAAGCACTGTGCGCCCAGCTGGTGAGAGAGGGAATTGTGGATGCTGTTGCGTCAGAGGACATGGACACGCTGCCATTTGGGGCCAAAACTCTCATTTGCCAGCTTAACGCCAAGAAAAACAGGTAAGAGCTGTGCATTTCATGTATTACTGAAGGAATTCTACCAGTATTCTTATATTTTGAAGTCATTGTGTAATATAAATTCAGTTTCCTGCTCTGTATTGAAACTATATTAAATTGACTTGTCCCTAGTAAATAAATAAATTCAAATTCAAATTGTTCCTGCTGGCTTGTCAGGGAGTGAAAATAAAACCTGCTGCCTTTCAAATGCAGAAAAAAGTTTTGCTTTTGCAAGTAAAAAAATCAGGTCACTCACTAGCCACTATGCCAAAAGGGGTTAGCTCTTAATGATAATTATTGTTTTTAGTGGTGATATGATATATTCCATTTTTGTACTGTAAGGTAAAAGTGACTCAATATTTACATTTCTAAAGTTCAACATTCATTCTAAAAGTGGCACACAAAGTAATCGAGTAGTCAGAGAAAACTGTCAGGTATCTGCAAAGATGGAAGCAAAGACAAACACTCAGACCTCAGATAGCTGCTTTTATAAAAAAAAAAAAAAACATCTGCCTAGCTGAGAAGTCACCTTGCTTTCTTGATCAGATGCAACCAATAGTGAGTTTCAAGGTTTCTTAACTGATCTAATGGTAATCTGTGTTCTTCCTCTCCCTCACAGTGAAATTATTGAATATTCTTTAACCAAGCTGTTAGAGAAACTCCAAATTAGTCACAAAGAGGTAAAACTAAAACTTGCTTTAAGACGCCTTTTAAACCAAATTAAACATACAGAAACACTCTATGCAAATAAGATCTCAGAATTCCCTCGCATTTTTTCTCCACCAGTTTGTCGACCTGTGTATCTTGTTGGGCTGTGACTACTGTGGGAAGATAGCAGGTCTGGGTCCTAAGAGAGCTCTGACACTGATCCAGAAGCATCGTACCATTGAGGAAGTGGTTTCACATGTCAACAAAAAGGTACTTCATGTACAACCAGTCGTCTTTGTTGTTTTTTTTTTTGTGCAATTCTAAAAATGCAAATCTATCATGACACTTCCAATTGCTGCTCTTCAGACCCATCCTGTGCCAATTTCATGGAAGTACAAAGAAGCGCGTGAAATCTTCTTGAAAGAACCTCAAACCATGAACTCACCTGAACTCACCTGGACTGAGCCAGATGAAGAAGCACTGGTTGGGTTCCTTTGTCACAGCGCGCGTGTTAAGTACGTACACTTTGCTTTAAATTATTAAGCCCATCTTTCAGTGCTCTCACACTAGATCTGTATTAATGTTGCCGTTTCTTTATTAAGGAAGGAAAGGGTCCGTCGCCGAATGGAGACATTTCGTCAGATGCGTGAAAGTAAGCGGGAGGAGAGGGAGAAGGAGGAGAAAGCAGGACGCAGCAAGCAGACACGCATCGAGGATTTCTTCAGAGTAACCAGAAAAAGGAATCGGGTGAGTATTACAGGATTCGATGGAACCTAAAAATAAATACTCTTTAAAATACATTTGAAATGTGAGAGTCAATGTGTTTGCTCTTTCATTTCTTCCCCAGGAAGCTGCAGACTCTTCAAGCAGTAACAGAAAGAGACCAAAGACAGAATAAATCCACCAACACCTGCCACACGCTGCCTCCACAGTCAGAATCAGAAAGAAATGATTCAACTCAGTCCTCCTTTCAAGAGATCTCCAAAATATGATTAAAACATTGACAGACGTTTTTTGTGATTTTGATCTTCTGTCATGGGATGTTATTTTTTTTAACAAGCTATGCTGCTTCATGCCCACATGAAAGTCTAGATGGCTTTTTCATCCAAGTCAGGAAATAATGGTATTCCACTCAGTAAGATTTAATGTTATGACATGATTATAATCTACAAAAATTAGAAGAGGCAGCAACTTAACATGTTGAGTCATGTTTTTTTTGTAAACGACAGAGGACTGCGCTTTTCCAGCTGCCTTTTTGAAACCACTTCCGGAACAAGCCAAACCAGGCACCTTGTAATATGCTGACCTTTCTTTTCTTTCTTTTTGTCTCTGCAAGGGTGCACTTCCCCCACTGACAGTACAATAACCTAAAAAAACAGCAACAATGCAGTTCACTGAGCAGTTCTTCAATGTATCCAGCAGTGTCCTTCATAGCCACCAAGAAAAGCAGATCAGGCCTTGAACAGCAATGAATGAGAACAGTGTGCTCACTGTCGTGGAGGCCTCCCCCCCAGCCAAAACTGGAGACAGGGGACGTCTCATCACTAGATATTCAATGAGCACCTGTTGTGTTAAGGATGCCAAAGTGTGGACATAAGACTTGAATTTTAAAACATTTACGGAAATGGGATCATGTTTCATGGGATCAA